ACGTTAAAGTTCTAACACATTGACACTTTTAAATTAGTAACTTGAATTTAATTTTTAATTTTATTTATTGTTTTTCAATTTGTATGAACGTGTAATGTATGTGTAATGTTATAGGATTCATGCCTAAATACATTGACTTACAATTATATGGACGTCGGATCCGCGCTAAAAAGTGTCCGAACTTATAGGGCGTTAAAATCGTATACAGAGTGTCATTCACGCTTTAGTCTTCGTTTGTTCGACTGACAGCGAAGCAAGCAAAATTAGACAGTACTGCGATGACATTATAATTTAAATTCAACGTTTTAGCTTTTTCATATTCTTTTACATGTCACACGTTTAAATAGGTTGACTTGGGACATTTTTCTCGTGGTTTTTGTATTAGACCCGTCGTCCATTTAGTTGTAAGTCAATGCCTAAATAACAATTTCATTAATTAAAGATTTTTTATTCTCACTCCGTTACTGTTCATGCGGTCAGAATTTGGCATCGAGTATATAACCAGAAATAGAGACCAAATAAGGACCATCCATCCCTGGCAACAACTCATCAGGCAAGTGGGCCTTATATCACTTTTAAATATCAACTCTCGTTTGTACTGAAATCACATATTAGAAAACTGAAATAGTACAGCGCCAACAATTGACCTGTATGCACGTCTCCGTATATTCCAAAAATATTCTGTATTTATTGTAATAAAGATAATATCTCTAACAATGGGGGGCTATTCCATTCGGTGCCCAAGGAGCACACTTTATACGCCTTGAAACTGTTATATCTATAAACATTCTTAATATGGTATAGATTTAGATCGTAGTTATCTATAAATGGTTTTAGAAAAAATAAATTGTTCTTATAGACTTAAATAAGTCTGATTGAGTGAAATCACTCAAGTCAAAATTTTAAAACCTTCTTAACACCAAACAACTTAATTAAGTGTAATCTCTCTTAAGATTTGCCCTTAAAGTCCTTATTTTAAGTTCATCTGTAGAATAACTGATTATTTAAAAAATATTGTTCTATACACATCCAGTAAAGTTTATTAATACTCTAAAAACTAGTGTTCTTAAGTTTATTCTAGATATATTTAATTTATAGACATTCTGAAGTGTTTGTACTTATGACAAACATGTTATAGCGCGTCTTCAGTAGATTTTATTTTTAAAAATACTACAATTAGGGTTTTTACTCAATTGGACGTTGTAAGAGTTCATGCAAAATGGATAGAGTAAAGAATATTAAAAGATCTGGTGGAGGTGGTGAATCAGCGTTGCCAATGCCAATTGTTCAAAATCCCCAAAAATCACGGTTAAAATCCCCAAATTTGGGGAGAGCAAAGTTCATATTCCCCACAAATTCCCCACATCTCGAGTTTTCATTATTTACTAGCAATACATCGCTTAAAAATATAATAAAGAACTAAGAAACTCAAAATGTAATAATCTATTACATTTGCTGTGAATGTAAACAGAATGTAAAAAGTAAAACTAATTATAAAATTAGATGACCTTAAATCGTTTGTTTATTTTAATTAGATTCAACATTAATATGTAATCAGTCTTTGAAAAAAAATCATTTTTCTTTGCCTTACAAAATTAAGTAAATTGATTATTTGTTGTGCATTTGGCGACACTATGTTAATGTTAGAAATAATCAATGAGTTTCTACCTATATTAAATATTTAAACTTGACGAGTGGTAAGTTACGGTGTGGAAGTACCAACTGTTCGGCTTTGTTTATCAATAGCTGATTTCGTTTTACTTCATACCGTGGACCGGCCTAAACGGGAGAAAAAATCGGGAACTCAACAATTAATTAATTAATTAATCAATTACCGACTGGTAATTTTACAATTCACAACCAAGTGCTCTAATAATAATTCTATTTAAGCTGCTTGTTAATAATACGAGGGATGTGCGATGTTGAAAAACACGTCGATATAGTCCATCACAGTGTTTCTACCAGTAACGATCAAACTAGCAATACATCAGCAATTGATAGATTAAACAAAATGATAAAATGTTAGAATCCCCACATTTTCCTCACATAGCCAAAGCAATCCCCACAAAATCCCCAATCTAGTGGAAAGTCCCCAAAATTTGGGGAATTCCCTACAAATTGGCAAAGCTGGATACAATAGTCATAATTCGGGCGCGAGCCGGTCACGGCCGGCATTTTTGTTTGTTTAAAAATAAATAAACATTGTGAGTAATTTCGTTTTCTGAAACGATAAAAACAATTGAAATGAGCGCGTAAACTACTGTACTTCAATGTTGTGTATGTATATTGTGCCGTCTATCAATAGAATATAATGCAATCATTATGTGAAATGTGGTTGGCGTGAAATATCCTCAATTTTGAATAATAACCTCAAATGAAAATTTTATTTCTTCCAACATGAGTTAGGTATGTCATTAAATTATTCCTTATATTTGTATGATAGGGAATTTATTCACCTTTCTAGTTACATATAACACATTTCGTATAATTATACAGAATAACGTTTTTTTGCGACAAATTGGATTTTTTTAATAGTTTTTTTTTACCTAGTGTTTTGAAAAGTTTTTTATTGCATAATGCGCTCACTATTCCCTATAACTTTTATAAAGGTTTTGTAATACTGTCAAAAGAAAAAATCGCTTAGAAACATCGCGTTTTGTAGACAATCATAAAAGATCTTAGGAGTTAATATTGTTCTACAAGATCAACTACACTAAAGCAAGTAAAAGTAATCTTTTCGTATTCTAAAGTTTTTCTGTAGATAAAGCTATAGACAAAATGCTCCCAACGGTGTCTTGAAAAAAAGCTATAAATTCTTATCGACATGTTTATTTATAAAGAATGACTATGAAGCAGCCGAGAAAAAATTCTTTTCTTTTAAAAAGTAGATCTAGGTTGGAACTAGCTTGAAGAAGCCTAGAACTTCCTGGAAATGTCTTGTTTTGTGAGTTATTTTGTATATTTAAGCTTTCTATAAATATTTAAAACGAAAATCGATAACTGTATTTTTATGAAGTTTATGTTTTACACATAAATATTTAAAATTTAGCGAACACATTAATTTTATGACAGGTTTTACATCACTTTTCACAATGTATTTAAAGTCGCACGTCAATTCGCGCTTTCTAACCGATTAAACATTGCGCGAAAAAGTCAGAAATATTATATCTAATTTCGCCATGTTGTAATTTTGATAGTTTATATTTTGTAAGCCATTAAACTTGAAATCTATTAGTATTAAGAGAATTGCGTCTTATATTTGTAACGTTTTAGTATTTTGGTTTTAAAATAGCATTACTAAGAAAACTATCATAGACTATAAATTATCTAAAAACTGTCTACAAGCTAAATAAAAACTGTCTATATTCTACAAATGGTCTTGTACCATTCTATATTATATTTATATTATTCTATATTATATTATATTATGCCTAAAATACAGGTACACATGTACTTAGTTTAGGCATCGCAATTGCACTATTAGGCACTAAGATTAAAATGTTTAATTTTACCATGATTATTTTATATAATTTAGATTTTTTTGTTTTGTTTATTACTGTTTATTTTAATATTTTATCTTCAATTACATTGTTTTCATTATAATTGTATTAGATTAAGTAATATTGAAATAAATTTATCTTTATCTTTATCTTTAATAATAACGAAGAACTGAACTGATTCTATAAGGGTTACTTGAGAAAAAAGATAAGAATCTCTCTTCTAAAGAGATAGATAGTTTACCTACAGATAGTTTCTCAAAGCACTCTTGTGATCTACTAATAACTTTGTGCCCACTTTTACTTTAAATTATCTAGAAACCTTCTTCGAGATATCTTGAGGGAATTTGAACTCTTAAAATATTCAATCGAATTAAATTCTATTAGATATCTTATAGTATATATTTAGATATGGGTGTGCTGCTTAAGTGGTGTGGGAAAAACAGCAAAACATATAAATACAAAACAAACGGACTCGAAACTAACGGAATGAAATATAAATTATGTAATTTAGCATTTTTAGAATAGAATAGAATACACATTTATTGCAACGCCACAACACATATACAAAAAAAATTATAACACAAACAAGGATAACAAAATTAAAGAAATAATTAATTAATAAACAAAATAAAAAAAAATAAAAAAAAAAAAAACTTAAAATAAGAAAATTCTAACAAAAAACAAATAGGAAATGAAACTATTTTTCCGGGTTTAAATCGCGTATATTTGTTTTTTCAAACAAACCGACGTTTCGGGCCCTTTACAGGTCCCATGGTCACAGTTGACTGTCAGTCAAACAACAATCGCGAAAACCTAAGAACTCGATAAAAAACAAATAATAATTACTACAAATTTTGTACTGTCATTGATGTCGTTGTGACGTACGCAAAAGGACTTCATTCGCATAAGCCGCAGTTGACTGCAGCGCTAGTTTTCTATGAGCCCTGAGCCGAGATGAGTGACAGACGTGTGTGTCGCGAAAGGACTTAAAATAAACTACTTAAATATTTGTGTATGTGTTCTTTGTATATTTTCGTCCATTACAGGAACGCTCAAATTAAACTGGTCGATTCGAAGTGAAATTAACGACACCCGTCAATTGTTTCGAATTCGGGCTGGCCAATCGGACTGCAGTTGTCACAGTAATGATTTGGCAGAATAGTTTTCAAACAAATTAAATGACATTTCATCTCAATTTCTGGTTATATACTCGATGGACTTTGGAACGCACTTCCCATTACTGTGCATGACAGTAAATCCTTAAAAAAAATGTGGAAAATGTCATAACAAGATAATACACGAATAGGATCGGCCAAAAACATAACAATGCCTAGATATTGAAGAAACTAGACGACAATGACGCAACATCTAGAGAGACGAGAATAAGAAAAAAATACTAAAAAAAAAGCATAGCAGTTATAGTGATTTTTAGTCACCACTGGGGCTTTGTTTCTCTCAAGAAAGGAAAATTATAGCTATGTAGGACGTAGTTTTTTTTACCTTCTCGTAGTGCTTTGTAATCGGAGTCTATGTGGCATCCCTTGGAGACTTTTGTTATTTCGAACTGCACGCAGTATCTGAAACAATAGAACAGAAGTTGCTTTAACAATAAGGAATAATAATAATATATTTTGTTCGATCTTTGTTTTAGTAATTATGACCAACTAGTGGAGTAACTTCACAAAAAATAATTGAATTATCAATTCAATACAAATTTAATTACAAATAGCGACATCTCTAGCCAGGGCTGGTAGTTGTAAAGTTACCTAACTGGGTAACGAAATACTTTCATAAATTTCTCATAGATGGCGAAAAAGTCGTTGAAAAACCAAATAAATTGATCCGACAACAATCACATAGAAAAATGCGTGAGCTCCGCTGGTTCGTTCCGTGCCTTAGTTGGCAAAGCGTCCGGCACCGTTTGCTAGAAGACGTCGATTCGAATCCGGCTGGATCGAAGAGATTTTTTCTAACTGTTCGATCTTTGATATTTATAAGTTCTGAATGGCACTGTAACTGTTATGTACAGGCGAGTAGCTTACCATCAGGCGCACGACTTGCTCCTCCCGTCACTTGAAGGTATAAAAAGAAAGTGGCGGAGTAATTTCACAAAAAACAATTGAATACAAACTTAATAACAATATAATTTATTGTTCTCCTTAAAGGTAGGCGTCCACAGATTCGCAGCGCACGCATCGGACCGATCGCATTATACGGATTTTAGTATTCTTTGTATAGAAGTTCATACATCTGCGTCCACTGATAGCACGGACCGCACGCACCGGTCTATCGGTAATGCCGACGCAGTTGCTCGGAGGGACAACTTTTCTGTTGCGTGCCGACGATGTCATACGGATTGCGTATCTGTAGACGCACGCGTTGCGATCTCTTCTTAAATATGTCTTGTATCCAGATATCACGTTTCCTTTCTTTTCTCTTCTTTCTTTTTCTGCCAACAAACAAGCCACCACGACAAATTGTTCTTAATCACTTTCCAAATCCATTGTCTCGCACACATAAGTCACTCTGGTCCGCTCGCTACGAGAAGTGGCGTCGGCAATCCGATAGCTAGTAGTTGCGTCGGCAATACGATTGCTGCGGATACAGTGGATGCACTGCCACAAACGGAACCGTTTGATGCGATCCATCCGATGCGTGCGCTGCGGATCTGTGGACGCCTATCTTAAGTAGGAATAGAAGTTACAAAAGCTTGCATTCGATTCCCTAAGTACCTGACCCCTTCCCCGACAGATTGGTTCTGAGATCCTTCTAACACATTCAACAAAAAAGTGTAAAGTATTGCCAGCTTTTCGTTTGAAATTTGCATTTTCGTAATGTAATTATAGATCTAAACACAAAGAAATTAATAATTTCATTCGATAGACTTAGTCATTTCTATTTAACTATATGAATGAAACAGGACCGCTCTGAATCTTAGCTGGCTCAAACGTCCCCATAATACTGGCAGTATTACCGCGCTGAATAGCCAACGAATTTTGTTGCACCAAGTAAGATCCAGAACGTGGATCATAGCCTCTTTCTCTAAGCCCAACCGACGACCCAACTCCCTGATGGGTTCTTTGGCCTCCGCACCCCAAGTCCCCGCAGTCTCCACTGCCATTGGCACAAAATCGTACATCGGCTCCAAGGCACTGTACTAGGCATGTTTCAGTTTTGCCGCATACTCTGCAGCTGACCCGTAAGATCTGGTGGTGTGACTCAAATTGAAGATCAAATTGGTTTAAAAAGTTTTTTAAGACGTCATTCCCTACTGATGGAATAAGAAAGTCCTATGAAAATGCATTTTATGGTTGACAGGCAGAGATGAGCAGTGGGTTAGAGTTAAAACCCAATCAACCCGCACGGGTTTTTACCCAAAGCGCCGAGGTTTAACCCATTTCTGCCGATGATCGTAGGCAGGAACGCCGAATACGGAATTTGGTATTATTCCATACTTTAGAAATTTCGATATAAAAAATATTGTTTCTAGACGATAAAGAGGCAAAGCCATACAATGCTAAGAGTCTTACTTACTACTAAAGACGCATTCTTCGATTTTTATGGAAATCGATTAAAGTGTATGCGATAAAAAGTTTCAGTCTCGATTAATTTCATTACATAATATCATTACGTTTAACAAAACTCGATTTACCAATATTTAGTTGTAAATAGTTCTTGCCTTCGATTTGGGCGTGAATGGATCAAGTGACGGGCCGAACGAGTCGCGCGCCTGATGGTAAGCTACACGCCTAACCATAACAGTTACAGTGCCACTCAGAGCTTTAAATCACAAAGACCTGAGGAGCACTGCCACTGCGCCCGACACCCTGAGACATACTCTAACAAGTCCTACGTGCCTGTAATTTCACCAGCACCCGTACCCTTCAAAACCGGAACACAGTAATGCTGACATTACCGCTTGGCGGCAGAAATAGGTAAGGTGACAGTACTTCCCTGGATGCACTCACAAGGAACTCCATTGCTACCAAGGATTAAAACCGCAGCATTAACAAAGTGCCGGGTTATAACTCAGGGGTTTGCTCTTCTCTGGATTTTACTATGTTTTGATAATGTATCGGTGTGTGTATTATGTGACCTTTGAAATATGTAGAACCAAAATAAATACTCTATAAACTGTGATCGGAGATGGGCCCATCATCATGCTCACGGGTTCAAGTTTGTTTAGCACTTTTCTTCACATTTTATCTATTCAGAACCAAATGTGCGGTTAGGGTTCAAGTATCGACTGTACATTATGGGCCCAGTAAATATTAGACAATGTGGTCCCAAAGTAAGTAGCTAAAGCACTTGTCGAGGACAGACCCTCTTTATAGTTTTTAGTAATTAGTCTATGTTTAGCTCTTTGTCTCTATGTCCTTTTCTTGTCTCTATGCTTGCTTCTTCTGCTGTTTTTTACTGTCTGTTTTTCCTCTCTAATAATACACCTTTTCCTACCTAAGCAGCCGTTTCCTTCGCTGTCGTAGATATCCAGGTCCTTTCAAACCATTAATCCCGGTCATGTTGGAGCCACTAATCTCAATTTCTATTTTTCAAAATTAAACATTTTTAAGTTATGCTTACGAGAACGCAAGCAGCGAAAAAGATGGCGGAGCCCTCGCCCTCTGAGGGAGGAGAAAAGGACATACAGACAAAGAGCTAAACATAGACTAATTACTAAAAACTATAAAGAGGGTCTGTCCTCGACATCACTTGTGTTATGGAAATCGGAAACAACGACGGTACCACAAACACCCAGACCCGGGACAATACTATTTACAATAATAATTATTAGTTGTAAAACAGCGGAGCCCATGCTTGAGCATTTTGTTGGCGTAGTGTTACCGCAACCCACTCAAAATTTTAAATTAAATTAACATGTAGACCAGGGGGAGGGCAAATTTTATTTTATTTTTTTGATTGTTACACATAGGAAATGAAACTATTTTTCCGGATTTAAATCGCGTATATTTGTTTTTTCAAACAAACCGACGTTTCGGGCCCTTTACAGGTCCCATGGTCACGGTTGACAACCGAAGGGCCTGAAACGTCGGTTTGTTTGAAAAAACAAATATACGCGATTTAAATCCGGAAAAATAGTTTCATTTCCTATTTCAAAGTTAATTTTTTTATTATTTTTACATTATTTCATTTTTAAATTTTAATTTTAATTTTGATTGTATTTTATTTTATTATATTTATAAATATTGAAATGTAAACTAACAGATTACCTAAGGTTTCTGTAAAACTAACAAATGGACCTATGTTGTCTTAAATAAGAAGAACTATTATTATTATTATTATAATAATACAGAGAAGTTAGTTTTTCTACACAGACCCAGCCGGTGATCGAGCCCGTGACCTCTGAGATGGCGACATCATGAAAACCGGTGTCAATCCACTCGACCACGGAGGCTGTCATGATAATATTTAAGAA